CCTCTGCCTCCACCCACCCCCCTCCCTCTCCCGTCCTGGGCATTGTGAACACAGCTGCATTGCTCGGAAACTGTCCACTGAACCTAAATGACTCACTCTCGAGTGTTACTCAGATCTGGGATGCCACACCTGTGTCACACCTGTGGCAGTGCCCTGCTGTTGAGCTCTTGTTAAAGCATGTGTAATGACCAGGGACACTGTCCAGGCAGCAGCGTTGGACTCAAAACTGGACATAGAATAGAATCCCAGTTTTGTTAGAAACAACAGTGGGGGTGGTGATGGCTGTATTTGTGCCAAGAACTAGAAAGCAAAAGGCTAAAGCACTAACTGGTTGTGTCTGAAGGTGGAACGTTGGTGGTTTTTATTATCCTTTACATGTTTTCTGCACACATGGGCATCGATTTTCTAATCAGAACAAGCAATTAAGCTGCATTTTAAAGATGGTTTTCCACGCCAGTCCTCCCTTCCCCCTCTCCCAGAGTGATGCTCCCGTGGGCTCCCCCAGGCTGTCTCCAGCAGGTCGGCACAGAGCAGCCCTGCTCAGGCACTGGGTCACCCTCCTTCCTTGCAGGAGCCATCTCTGCCCAGCCCTGGGCAGCTTCTGGCTAAGCCCCTGACCCGACTGGACGGTGAGAACCCTCAGCATGCCCTGGATATTAACAAAGTGGTAAGTGACACATCAGGGAGGGGACAGGCTCCTGGATGCTGGTTGGGACCGTGAGCCCAAATATCCTGCCCTCGCCTGGTGTTGTGTCTGCAGATGCTGAGGCTCCTGGGGGATGAGTCCCTGCCAGCCTGGCAGGAACAGACCATGGGCACGTACCTGGTGAGGCAGGGGCAGCGCCGGCCAGGGCTGCGAGATGAGCTCTTCAGCCAGCTCGTGGCCCAGCTTTGGCACAACCCCAGTGAGCAGCAGAGCCAGCGCGGCTGGGCCCTCATGGCGATCCTGCTCAGCGCCTTTCCCCCAACGCCCGCCCTTCAGAAGCCGCTGCTCAAGTAAGCGGCTTGGCAGGTGGAGGCCCGGGGGGTGAGGTCCGCAGGCCGCCCCCCCACAGCCCTGTGCTGTCCCTGCAGATTTGTGTCCGACCACGCCCCCAGCGGGATGGCAGCACTGTGCCAGCACAAGCTGCTGGGGGCCCTGGAGCAGACGCGGCTAGCCCCCGGGACCACCCGCACCCACCCACCCACTCAGCTCGAGTGGACAGCCGGATGGCGGCGAGGCCGCATGGTGCTGGACGTCTTCACTCTCAACGGTGATGCCCGCCTCCTGCTAAGGCCTCCCCAGGCCCACGGAGGAGCCAGCCCTGCCCCTCCCCCT